GCTCAAAGAAGGATACTTAAAAACCGATACTTAGAAAAACTGGTTTTATTTGGTGATAAAGCATCGTTATTGAAAGAGTATGAGGAAAGGAGTCTGGCTCTGTGCAGGATTGCAGTGTTCTGCACTGCAACGTTCCCAATTTTACAAAAAGATATTGATGGCAGGAAAGCAGCACCGAATATATCAAGACTCCAAAGGGATGCTTTAATAATGACTTTAAATTCTAAGTGTAGAAATCACAGACTGTAACAAACAACTCCTGAAAAACCCGACGAGAGTTTGGAGAGCAGTCAGAGGATTTAACACATCTAGCCCTAAAAATACATTTTAAAACAAGCAGTGTGTTTATTACACTGCAGCTTGGGCAGAATGAGGTGTTGGCAGGTGTTGTGCTATAATGTGACGGTGCAGCTGTCTGTGAGCAGATTTTGTTTGTTTGTAACTCACACATGAGAGTGTCAACTTATATACATGTAGGTACCAATGTTAACAAGCTGCTGTTCCCAACTGTTACCCTTCTCAGTGAGAGGGAGTTTGCACACTATTCAATGTTAAATGAGGGGGAGCCAATATAATAAACTAAGCTCTGTGTTCTTGCTGCATCAACATTGATAAAAAGAAAAGAAAAATATATAGAGCTGCATCAATGTATCAGCTGCACGTTGGTATTGGCTAATATATTTGCCTTGTTGGCTGGCATAGGCCTATTGGCAAGTAAAGCATGGCATTCACTGGTGGCACTGGCTGATGTTTTCTGTTGTGTCACTTCAATTTTGCACAGGCTATAAAGCAGGGTTTCAAACTAACAAAATATGTTTGAGATAAAAAGAGATCTCCCCAGAGCTGCTATTGGGATGAAAGAATGTACTAAATTCACCACTGACTCATCAGGGGATGCACCTGTTTAGGGCTGCCCCGTAATAGTCGACCAAACGTTAGTCAACCAGAAAGGTCATTAGTTGGCAAGATTTTATTGGTCACTTAGTCGCAGAAAAAACAGACAGAAAAAACAAACAAACTCTGAACTCTGTGAAACTCTATTATCAGGAGCTGTACCTCGTCAAAATAGATCAAAACCTATATGACTGGACCATGTGGGAATATAATTTGAAAGGACAGACACAGGAAGTGGCCACGCTCAGCAGTCAGACAGGAGTCATGTTACAAACCAATCACAGCCGACAGATATCTTTCCCTTCTTATGTAAATATTCAGTCTGATAAATATGGAAAAGTTGATCATGTTAGTGCAGGGCTACCCAGAGCTTTACATCTGTCCCATGGACGATAGGCACAGGAGTAGCACCCAGCACCTGGCCTCCCGTTTCCCAGGCGGTTAAAGACGCGGCATGTGTACGGCCCCTAATTTCCAGGGCTGGTACCTGCGGTTATTCCACAGGCTAGTTAATAACATGTCGGGCAGGAAATCCAAAGTGTGGGATCATTTTGAGAAGGTGAAGGACGAACCAAAGGTGATATGTAAACTCATCTTCATTGGTCGACTACAAACATGACGTATCATCTGAAACATGGAAGTAGCTACATGCCCATTAACCCACAGAGTCATTAACAGGAAGCACGCTCAGTGTGTGACGTGCACTTGTAGATAAAATATAGGCCTATATTAATGAAGGTTCATTAGGACGGTTTTGTATTTCTCTGTAATGTAGCACAGTGTTAACAATGTTACTGATACTGTTCTTTCTCACACCTTCAACTCAAATCATTGTGTTGCCCTGTCCATCCAAAACATATAATTTAATAATTAAATTAATATCGTAAACGTGGGCGACTCTTCAACTAATGGCACTAAATGACGACTATTGTTTCCCTGATAAAGCTACAAGTGAACAACGAATCCGTGTTGACATAGGCAGGAGGAGAGCTACCTGATTAGCTCTTATTAGCTGGTGGCTGAAACTAACAGCTAATGGAGATTGCACTGAGTTACATTATGATGCTTTCAATAACTATTCAGTAAAAATTCAGATTCAGATTCAGAATTACTTTACTGATCCCAGAGGGGAAATTATTTATGTTACAGGTGCTCCTTGCAAGAGAGGAAAGATTCGTGAAAATATAAGAAATTTAAACAATAGTATTTACAAATATATAGTTAACTAACAGGAATTATTAACAAACATAAATGTAAATAAATAAATAAATAAATAAATAAATAAATATATACACACACACACACACACACACTGTAAACTGAACAAGATTATTTACACAAACAGAATATATACAGTCAGGGTGAATGGGGTTATTGCACAAGTTAAATTAGATTATTGCAGTGTGTGAAAAAGTCTCAGGGCCACTCAGAGGGAGGAGTTGTACAGTTAATAAAGCAAAAAAGTAAGAAAAATGAGTATTAGGCGAAGGTAAATTATAATGTCATCATGATGTGCTCAAATGTAATCTTGAAAAGTTAGGTTTTGGTGAGAAACCTGAATAAAAACAGCTGTTTGAGGGAGAAATTTGTTGATGAATTATGATAATATATATATAGTAAAAAGCCTTTTAAAACCATTATTTTTTAAATGTTTTTCCACATGAAAGCAAGTTATATTAAAGACTGTTTCAAAAATTTGTATGATTGAATTTGTGATCATTCAGAGATAGTGTAATGAAGCACTGAATGACTTTAAATCCGTTCAGTTATTTCTTTTATTATGAAGACTTATTTGTTTCCCTGGCACATAAAGGGGAATAAATAACAATAATAATAATAATAATAATAATAATAATAATAATAACAAAACAAAATAAATAAAAACCAGTATCAGTTATCGACCGAATTGTTTTTTTGAACACTGGTTTCTGTAATGGCCCAGAATTTTGCAATTGGTGCATCTCTAGAAATCATCAATGTTCAGCCATTCTTATAAAAGAACATGTTTTTGGATGACTTCTGTCTTCTCATAGTTTTGGTCATCATGTTCCTGGTGAGTAATTACATTTTCCCCAATGTCATCGCTGAGATCTGGGGACGTGGCAACTCTGAAGCTCCACAAGAAAGCACATTAGGATGGACAGCACAATGATCCTCCTTAGCAAATGCAGAAATTTGCAGAAGTTCAGATGCTGACGAGTGTAGCAGGTTAGTTAATAATTAATCACATGTCTACACCAGGGACCCACATTCAACCTGCATTACTCAATACGGTGCAAACCATTTTATATCACGTATAATGACCTATAATAACCTTGAGTTAAACCCTTCATACAAGACAAGGGCACAAGGTGCAGACCAGGGAGTAGGGTTTAAAGTGAATCTGTAGGAAGGATTCAGACATAAAGACACAGGATAGAGATGAATCCCTCTATTGGAAGCACTGGGACAATGTTGACAGTGATACCCACAAACAGCCTATTGGGACAACATTTTGGACAAAGACTGACAGCCAATAAAACACTTGGATACAAGGCAAATCACCAAATGTACCAGCCCCTTGGATCCCAGCACAGACGTGCACATAGACTGTCTGTGCATGTCAGATTGGGCAGGCTCACACATGCAAACTCTGCCTTTTGCTCGTACAGGAAACAGTTGCTTGTGCAGAGAAAGATTGTGAGTGCGAGGATGTTTATTGTCTACATGGGGACAGTTAATTGCTCATATAGAGAGTACTGGCACCCTAGTGTGAGTTTTGTCATTATCATAAACAAACAGGTACCAGCTGCAGAGAGAAGGCACAGTTTCTTGCATAATGGGACATAAAAACAATCCACAATCTATTGCACTGCTTCTTCTTTTGTTCCTACACTTGGCATACCTTGTGCATTTATTGACTTCACTCTATTGCAGCAAAGAGGCAAGGCAGGCAGTGGCAGGCGGCGGTAACGTTAGCTTTGCTGCGGTGGTAAAATTAGCAGCTACCAACACCCAAAGCTTTCAGTCTGCTTTGTTGCAGGTTGTTTTATTACTAGTGCTGTTAATATTGGTGATAGTAAAACAGGGGTGGCAATTACAATTTATCAGCAACTGAGAACAGCCTTTGGTCTGATTCAATTTCGAAGAGATAATTTGAAAAGCCTAAGTCCCTCAAATCACTCTACAGGATCCTAGTGAGGTCTCCGAGAGACTAAAGCATAAGGATCAAGATTCATCATCAGCCAAAGTCCCTACTATGGATGGAAACTGAGTCTACTGCCAAAAAAACCCCTAAGATTTTACAAAGAATACAAACAAACATGAACCTCCTTTTATCTTTCTACACTACATCTGAGATCAACATGGTTGGTAAGAAAAGACATACTGACAGAACAATATAATTTTTTCTATCAAAATTAGCACAAGCAGGATTTTTTAACCGCAGGAAAACCTGCTTAACATATGATGAACAAAGTAGACAAGGTGACATTTTAATGCCTTGCAAGAGATGTGAAAGAACCCAGTAGACGTTTCGCGCATTGAGGAACCAAAACAAAATACTTGTGGCCAGAAGCAACAGAGGCAGGCAAACATTTGCCTGATCAGGTCTCAGTGACAGGGGTGTATTAAGATCAAGCGATGTTGACACAGCACATGACACATATGGCAAAAAGTACATCATTAAATTCGAAGAAGCTTTGCCAGCATCTTTCTTGCTGCTCTCTGAGGCTGACACTTAAAGACATGGCACTGAAGTGTCATGCTGGGGGAAGAAAAATAGCTAGCTTGCAGCTGACACCCGTGCAGGCATAATCATGACTTCTTTGAAATAAAAAAATGTGTGTCAGTTTTTGAGTTTTAAACTGCTCTCTTAAAAGTTTGAGTCTCTGTCTTGCAAACCATGATGAATGTAAATTATTTTCTTGCTCTGATGCCAGAATTTTGAAATACGTGTTAGCAGCTAACTGTGGTGATTCATCTGACCATCTGTAATAATGGCCTATGAAACAAAAAAATCATTTTCTATTATTTTCATTATTTCTGCAAATAAAAACAAAACAGTGAATGTACTGGATTGAAGGAGACAGTAAAGGAGAGACAAAGCAAGAGAATCATGTTCTTACCCCTTGATTTCCATTAAATCTGATCAATGGTCTTGACGACAGGACCTGTAAAACAAACAAAAACAGATTTGTTTAATGATTTCACAACACATAAAACACATAAAATCTCATTCAGACATTCATTTCCAGACAAGATAGTATCAGATTCCAGTAATGAACCACTTGCAGGTGATTTCTTTGTTTTAGCAAAATCCTAAATGATTGAGATGTTCTTTTTCCACCTGGACCTTTATGCTCTGCCATTTCTCCTCTTATCATCACGCTGTTACCTGTGACAGGCTGTTATGATACCAGAACTACTGCACAATCACATATATGTAGTGTTGAGTCATGTAGGTTTACATTACCAAAGGTTTATGACAAAATGCCTTGACGAAACAGACTGCCATGTGCACACAGTAAGAGAGAGGAGAGGGAGAGACACTGTGCTGTTGCCAGAGGAGCCGCTGAATGAGTTCACTCTGAGCGGTAACTCGCTAAAAGAGCCTGAGAAGTCCGGGGCTGTTCATAAAACATTCAGGTCGCCACAGTTTATTCCACACTACTGAAGCTGCTCCTCTTTTTAGAACCACCGCGGAGTCGGTAATAATTTAGCTTTCAGCTATGTTTGTGGTTGCCGTGGGTCAAGTATGATATCAATATGTCAACACTTTTTCACGTCATATTAAAAATTATACCGGTATTATTGTGAGTGAGATGATACGGCACAACCCTGCTGCGAACTACCATGCTCTACTTTCAGAGCAAGTAAAATTAAATCAAAGTTCGCACTGGCGCTCCAAGTGACAATTGAAAGCCCTGGGCTGCCCATGTCAATTGCTCAATTTCAAATATGCAGTACAATTTTACAGTTTTAATTGGGCATAGGTATGGAAACTTCGAGATTCATGACCCTACATGTTAAATCACACTGTCACAACAATATTTTTCTTGACCCACGTGTCCGGCATCATTCAAACATACTCTGTTTAAACATAATTCCAACTACCTGACATTTGGAGAGATAGAACATGGGGGAGAATGAAAAAAAGTATAGTAAAACACCAGGCGTCGACATTGCTTGACTTTTTCAGGTTTTTCATGCTTGTGAAAACCTTGTGAATCTGCCATTAATTCATTTTTTTTCAGGTTCAGGCAGGAAGACAAGGTAGGTACTTAAACTATGCATCCAGTTCCTACATAAAACCAGTTTACCATAGGCTGACAGAGAGATTTACATTATAACCTCTCCTTAAGGAGACGTTAACCCCAGAGGAACCGCGATTTTAATAACATTTTCTATTCAAAGCTATGATATTAAAATTTAAACGTTGCATTAGCTCAGTGTACATCACAAAGACAGAAAATACTCTCTCATTTTAGTACTGTGTGCTCTCTAGTTCTACAAGCTTTATCCAACAACTATTTGCTATTATATTAAAACCCAAGGCAAGTTCTGGTTCAGTGGTAACTTCATATTCAAGAGTTTATAAGTAATAAACATTTCTTACATCTATGACAAATGCTTATATCAAATTAAAGATGAGGTGAGGCTTCCTCCAGTTGAACTATGAATATTGCCAACATGTGACTGAAAGTTGTAAAACAATAAAAACATGATTAACAGTTTTTATTTTATGGATAGTAAATTTGAAAAGGTAAGATATCCTATTTCAGATCATAAATTACAATAGGCAGAGTAATGCCCTCCTGTATGTAATGTCAGTTTCGGATAAACACAAAAAGAGGAAGGCATGCATAGGTTTTCCACTTTGCTTCCAGTTGTATTGAGATGTTTCAGTATCAGTTAGACTGTCCTGGGGGTTACCCTACACTATGGGTTTATCATTTGATTTCTTATAACTGCATGTCTGGTTTCAGTTTCTCAGTTTCAAAGAAAGTAAATGAAGAACAGAAGCTCTTTGATTCCCCTAAGACAGATTCTACAGAAAGCCAAGAGACACAAGCAGGACTTTTTTTAAAAACAAAAAGTTATAGTTGTTGTCATGCTACGACACAGAAAATGCCAAGCCAAAACAATCTGTCTTTGCAAAGTCAACCGAAACTGTATTCAAGAGTGTTTTTAACATCAGCTGTTTTCAGGATGTCAAGACTTGTGGTGCTGAATATAATTTGTTTTCAGAGACATTTTATTGAGAAATGCTACCACAACGAGACAAACTGTGAAGTATGGATGACTGTAGGAAGTAAACATGAACATCAAATAGAGGAAGTTACTTTGACTTTTCTTCCTTGGTGTTGCTTTAGCAGATCAAATGTGATCAAGCAAGAGAGAGAAAGAAGTTCAAGGGAGGTCAAGCTGTTAAAGACACAACGTGCTTTGTACTTCTGTCTGATCCTGACCCAGAGATATGAAGCATGCATACCAAGACTAGTGGGCTTCTGTCCTCTGTGCTGCTTCAGTTAGATCAAAACTTTTACTTTTTCACTTCAAATTACCATTGGGCGTCATATAAACCCAACCAACAAAAGCCATGTGGTCCACATTAAAGAGCAGTGAATACTCTTTAATACAGACAATATCTCCTTCAAAAGGCATCTTTGACGTCTGAGGTCATGCAGATGCACCACACCTTTTAGCTACCGCTGTTCAGTGACAAACTGCATTTGCGCAAAAGGAATTTTGTTCATGCGAAAGTTGTGTGAGGCTGTCACAAAGTCTGATGCAAGATTTACTAACATTTATGGCCTAACAGCTTCACTGGAAATGCTGAAGTCTGAAACATGACTAACACAATCTGACATAATAGCATGTTTAATACCTTTTCACACATCCACCCCTCCCTTCAATCGCTCACTCACCACTTACCATCAACTCCACTTCACTTACACCTGCGACTAGTGAAAAGTTTAAATTAGTGCTAGTACTACTACCACTGCTGCTGTTGCTGGTGCAACTACTATGACATTGTCTTGGCCAAAACCAATGTACTCTTGGATGGCTTGCTATGACATTTTACAGACATTAATGGTACCGAGAGGATGAAGGCAACCATCTTTGGGGAACCCCTGGCTTCTCCTCTTGTACCATCATGAAGCTGGCACTTGTGAAGTGTGTCAACCACAACTATAGACCCAGTTACAATGTTTGTTGACAGTACTTTCAGGGTGGAAACCCCCAACACCGTGTACATGAAATGAAACAATGCTGAGCAGACACTGCCCCAATTTGTTAGGATATTTGCACTGGCTTACCTCGCTGTCACACAGCCCTTTCCGACAGGAAACTGAAGCTGTTATCTCAAAGCCGCCAAACTCCACTGACAAATACAGTAATTTTAGAACATGGGGGTTGCTGGTGCTACCTCGTTCAGCTAGCAGTGAAAATGTTTCAAATATAGTGAACACTTAAAATGATATTGATTTTTTTAGGTGGCTAAAATACTGCAGCCTTCCATGCCAGTAGATTTGGTTTATTAAAAAAGCTAGCAAAGTGTCAAGATAGATCGTACCACCATGTTTAAGTACATCTTTAAACGTTATAGTTATGGCTGAAAATAACATCAGAAATAAACAAGTTTGCGGATTCCACATATCTCCGCAATTCAAATCCTTTGCCAGTTGTCTAACAGGAAGTGACAGATCAACGTCACGGTGATTCGGCCTATAGAATGGATTACCATGACCTTTGGTACAGACATTTGGGTCCCCCTCAGGGTTAACTGTAATCACTTGAGGAAGCCTTTAACTTTACCCTTTGTGCCACCATTAGATGAAAACTTGTTCATTAAAACACTTTTAAACTACTGCAAAACTTCAATTAATAGCCCAGGATATTATTTGCTTACATCGCTGAACTCAACGGGTCTATATTTGGGACAGGCCTTTAATTCCTTTCACACAAAACTTCTGCTCAGCAAAGACAGGAAATACAATCACGTTGTTCATTTAAACAAGTGTGAATATTACATGAATAAATGCTGGCTTCAGATTTTATTTCAATAATGAATCATTCATTTGATCTTGCACTGACAGATAGCATATGAGCGAAAGAGTTACAGCACTTGAGGATTAGGGCACCCAGCACACTGACACAACACTTTATCTTGTTAAAACAATACTCACAACTTGGATTAATTTTTATGAAAAGCCCTTTTGATTCTTTTGATCTGAGGACCCTTGCGGACTAAAGGAATATGAATAACTTACAGGGTAATCAAGGAATGGACACATAATTTGAGGTAGCCAACAACCCAGTTTTATACATCCGAAGAACTTCTAGTAAAAATTAACTGCTTGGTAACCAGACCAGACTTCCAACTGAGACAGGCGTTTATTTGTCAAAATGTGTACTCACACCGGGCTAGTAAAAAAGGGACTGGACGTTTAACTGGAACTAGGCTTTTAATTTAAGTTTTACCATAAGTACATGCAAAATTGATGAAATTCCCAAAAGCACCAGCTATCCTTTGTGTTAAGGGCTGATTAGCAAATGTGAGCATGCTAACACTCTGAACTATGCGAGCATAGTGGACTTTATACCTGCATGTTAGCATTTTCATTGTGGACATATTGCCATGCTTTTTAAGACAGCATTTATTTAGCTAAAAGCACCACTGCATGATTACAGACTCTCACAGCTGCTAGTGTGGCTAAAGACTGTTAGTCTTGTTATTATACAAAGATATTACTGACTGCCATGTTGTGCATGATAGCAGAGACCGAAGAGACAGTGAACTATGGAGCAGCAGTTCACCCTGCATAACCCTTCTTTGGCCGAAACAAATAAAATTAGACTCGTACAAAAAAAGACTGCCAGTGTCTCATTTATCTTACCAACAGTATAATATAGTTTCACTTTGTCCTGAGCTCTGAGCACAGAGCCTATCCAGGAACACCAGGCCTTTCATGGAGCCACACTCCCCTGGTCTACCCCTGCAATGTTTAACACAGCACCAGTTTTAGCACTCCCACCCTCGGCCCTCCCCCTCCCCCATCCCAGCACTGCTAACATAGTGCTACCCTCAGCCTGTTCATTTGAATGGGCTGCTGACATGTCACTATTCTCTGGGACCTGAGCCCAGAATGTTCCACAGAGCTAACCT